CCCCAAAACCCCAAAACCCCAAAACCCCAAAACCCCTCTGTAAGCTTTAGTTATTGAAAATGTAAATTATTTTCTTCTGATTAAAAATAGAGAGATATCAATTTAGCGCATTTTAAACAACTGGCAGTTACAAAGTGGGCATTTTGGGTCCACCTAGAATTATTAAGCAAATGCAATTTACCGCATTCCTATTAACACCAAAGTATTCTGCTAGGCACTTCTCATGGAAAATGTGTTTGCAACTATGATATAAACACAAAACTTACCCTTTTATAACAGAGATAGAGCTTTCTTGCTTGAAATCAGAAAGACAGATAGTTCATTCATGAATATCATAGATATTATTTTCTTTAGAGAATTTGGAAGATGAAATGAGTTGGCTAAGTTTTTCTTGATTAGTAATATTTACTTTTCTGTTTGCATGAACTATTCTGATATTTCTATCGGAGTTGTAATGCAGACGACATTTAAAGTAGATGTAGCTACTAACAAAGCAGCAAGCAGGAACTAATAGAATTCCAGTTACAAAAAAAATCAAAAATGTCTTTGAGCTGCCTCCTTCATCGCCAGAATCCATTGGCTCGCTAGTATTACTATTATAGTAATCATCATCGTCATCATCATAACCACGTCTACCATATCTTCCACCCCTGAAATATAATTTCCCAACTTACCCTCCTCCTCTGTGTAACTGTCTCTGCACACTCTCGCCTATAAATAACATCATCTCTGCTCAAAGCTCTCATTCTCCCCTACTCTTCTCACCCTCCCTATCTCCCTCTAGATCCCTTCAGCCCCTCCTCTAACACTTCACTACTAAAACAGTTTCAAAATTTTAGGTTCTTCACTACAGTTCTTCCCAGAAAATGTTAGGAAGATCTAAACAATAAGAATTCTTTTATGTCTTAAATCCAACCAATTTCCGAGTGGTTGTATAGATGCTTCTTATCGTGGAACTGCCAGAGATGTCAAGAGGTAGTACTAAGAGTGATCAGGGGATCTGGCAAAGCTCCTTCTAGGAAGATCAGGTCTTTTACTTTTGAGTAAAGCGACCTGGTGCATATATAAAAGTAACTGTACCAGGCCTTTGTCATAGAGCAGCGGTTTATTTGATATCACTAATAGTATCACAATCAGAAAGAACTGTGCTTAAAAAATTTGGTAAAGTGTCATGTACGGGTTTTGGGGCAGAAAAGTTTAACTTTTGAGTGGAGAAGTTGGGAAGAGGGGAATTTGGAAGGAAGAAGGTGGATGTGGAGGGAAAGGGAAGGGAACTTTGGGGAATTGGTAGCAGAATTGAAGAATAATGGTTTGGAGAGATCTAGGATTTTACCTTCTGATTGGATTGGAGATGATTTTTGAGCTGTAGAAGTTAGGGTGTGGGGAGTTACCTTTAGTGCAATTTGTGGTGAGTAATATGCAGAGGAATATCAGCAGGAAGGTGATCCTAAAGAGCAAGGTAGAATATGTGTAATGGCAAGGAAATCATCAAAGATCATACATTTTGGAAGAATTTAGTTGACAGTTCTAAATATTCTGATAGACTTTGATAGTTAAAATATTTGATAAAAATATATTGAAATTCTCCCTAATATAGGAATCTCAGTATCGAAAGTAAAATGATAAAAGAACTTTAGGATAATATTTAAAATTGTATAAACGCATAGAAGATCTAAAAATACTAAAGATGTTTCCAAAAAATTCTTTTATCAAAATCTTCACTCTCCAAATATCTCTGTCATTACAATTTAATTTTGAGGAGTCTTTGCTTGCTATAAGCCATTTTCGATCTTTATTATATAAACTCAATTAATGCAAACTTATATGGGGTTTTGGGGTTTTGGGGTTTTGGGG